TGGCGGGCCGGCAAGCTGAGGCACCCGCTCTGGCTCGGGGAGGGCGTCCGTGCTGCTGCGGGTCTCAAATACCCAGCACGGAGTCAACCACACTCGTGTTTTGCGGTGCCAGGCGCACATCCCGAGGCAGATTAGGGCAGACAGAAATAACAGGGCAGGTAAAAATATCTCTGAGATTTTCTTTGGACTAGGCAGTGCACCAAAACCCCAGTCTTATCTCTCGTTCTTGCTTAAATAACTGACAGATATTCAACAGCAAGGTGAGCGTGGTATTAAAATACACGAAGGGCAAGGACAGATTTTCTGTGCAAATGTCTCCCTCGTTTCTTCGGTTGTGAGACTCCAGACAGGAAAAGGGACTCTTTCTAGTGAATAATGACATTTTTATAACCTTTATGCTTCTTCGCTTGAAGTTCTTTATTCACCTCCCCACAAGTCCCAGAGTTTGTATGTGACACTTGTAGTTGTTTTTTATGTCAGTCTCAAAGCAAAATACAAAGCCAAGGGCCTGTACACAGAAGTATATGACTTCTGTGGCCTGCTGCCAGCCCCGTTCAGTCTGATGTCTGGCAGTCATTCGTTGTCTCGATCTTGTTCAAACCCTCAAGTCTATGGTTGCAGCGGTAGTGATGGGGGATGACACCCTTTCCTCCAATTTTGTCCTGAGCTAGGCCTGTTGCACAAAAGTGGCAGAAGACAGAGCTCAAACAGAATCAACCCTGAAAGCATGAGAGAGTTCAAACCAAGTCCCTGGTGTCTCTTACCTCCTGAGACAGAAGTAAGGACGTAAGATCTGGTGACTCTGCTACATTTGTCTCAGATATACATCACTGGTCCCACTGAAGTTCACCCTGCAGCTGCAACAGTACTCAGCACTCACTGTCTCTCCTACATGGCTTTACAGAATTACTGCAGGGCAGGCACGGCCTTGTTTTAAAAGGGAGAGGCAGAATAGTTGGCTAAAGCAGACTAGCTTTCAGGTTCGGCTAGTCCCCTTTCTCCAAGCCTATCACCTAAAAGAAAGATTCTGGCTCTCTGTTTATATGCGTTTTTATCAGGCACAACTTTAGTGCAGGCGAGTTTGCAAGTGCCTCATGAAGTACGAATAAATCAGTTTGCTCCTGATAAGAAAAAAAGGTGTCATTTAAAAGCCAAATGGTTTGGGGACTGGAACAAATCTCTGTCCATGTAATACTCTGTAGGCAAATGCCCACTGGCCACTGGGGAAAACGAAGGTTAGAAAGTGATAGCCATATTGAAGAAAACAGAGTACCTGGCAATGGGAGAGAAACCCCAGGGCAAGCGCACCCTTGTCAGGACCATCAGTGGATATGACAAGTACGTTTATGATTGTGTAACTAAATCCACAGGCCATGGATACTCACATAAAAGGGGTGGCAGATCTGGAGGGCATAAGAAAGAGCATGGTTCAGTCCATGTGTTGGCAGTGTGATTGTTCTCTTTCTTCTCCTTACTCCACAGCGCCTTGTCTCCATGAATATGCCACTGAACAGTGATGGGACTGTCATGTTCAACGCCACTCTCTTTGCCTTGGTCAGAACAGCACTGAGGATCAAGACAGAAGGTAAGAAGCTTGCTGACTGCAAGGGTACAAAAGTAGCTGTGGTGTTCACACCAAAGTGTGCTGAGCTGGAATACAACAATAAGGACATCTTGTGGGAAATGATCCCGGTTACTCATATGCAGCACATGGTACAAAAAGCAACGTAAAGATGTTTGAAGAAATAACATCTTCTAGGGAGAGAACAGTGTTTCCAGTTACCTAGAAAGCTGGTGCTTCCTATGGTATCATCTCAGATTATTGATCACATTCTTTACAATGGTCTCAAAGTTAAAAGTTTTAGATCAAGGTCTGCTCAAACAGCAATCAGGGGAAGGAAGAAGGGAAAAGAAGCCTCTCCTTGTGCAAACCGGCTGCAGACCTGGGCTGCTTTTTGACTGCTGTGGCACTGACCTCCCAATCCAAAGGAGACAAAACAGAGTGGACTCAAGGGTCTCACCTCACTAGAACTCATCCTGTGCTTCCATTAGCATGATTTAACATCACATTCTAGTGACAGTGGTGTCATCGGCCCAAAGACAGATGAGAAGCAAAGGGATTGTTAATAGCTTTGCATAGACCAGCGGGTATAGTTGGGGAAAGCAGATGAGTTCGGGCTCAGCTTATCCCCTTTGTTGCCCTCTGTCACCTGCTGTAATGAAAGATATTGGTCCTAAGTCAAAACCTGGCTTCGTGTATTAATGAGATGCTCTGAAAGAGCACGTAGGTCTGTGATTCACAGCTAAACACCTTTGCCTCGGGAGGGGCTACATTACATTTCAGGCATGGGAAAGCAGAGATAAGCAGAACCCTAGCTTAGTGTGCCAGGACTATACTGACAACTGAGCCAAAAAAAAGTGGTAAAATTAAAAAATAAAAATTATTAAGGCCTTGAATGTTGTGCTGAACAGACTTTGACTGTAGCCAAAGAGGTTCTCCTGAGGAAAAAGCCAACCTCAACCCCTGTAGGACAACTTCTGTCTTGTGAAACAGAGACCCAAAAAGGACTCAGTTTTCTTGTCCATCTTAGCCTCAAACTCTCAGTCATTGCCAGTGGACACCTAGGAAAGCACCTAAAGCCTCAAACTGCTTTCTTTCTTGCCTTAGCAGTGATCTTGTTAGGGCAGGAGTTTGAAATTAGCCCTCCTGAGTCAGATTTCTGCCTTTGCTGCTGTCCGCCTGTTTCATCCTCAGCAAGTCACTTGATGTCCCTAACTTCACTGCATCCTGTTAAGAGAGCTACTGCCATACAGAGCCCTGTGCAGCACGCTGAGGAGCCTTAATGCTGGGGAGCAACAAGAAGAGCTGCAGGAACAGCACCTTTAGGAGGACAAGATAGTGGTTTTGTACACCTAGAGAGAGAAGAGAGCTTCAGTTGTAAGGGGGTTTGAATGTACGTAAATCAAGAAATAAAATTGAAAGTGAGTCGTTTGGAAGGAAATGGGCATCTGGAAGGAAATGGACATCTGGAAGGAAAGAATATAAACTGAATCTGCTTCACTCACTCTCAAATGGGTAGTGTGACTTGGTTAATGTCTCATTCAGCTCAAAGCCCCTTGGAGGAACACGTGAAGTCTAAGTTCAGAGGGTTACATAAAAGGCTTTGTTACAGCCTATGCTGTTCTTCAGAGAATAAACACGAATATCCTGGGACAGTCCTCTGAGTCAAGTAGTGAAAGCCTTGCAAATGCCTGTAGCGCCTTGTCAGAGCACTGCACAGACTGTCCAAGTCAGACTTTTGGCACCATGTGAAGAACTTGCTGTCTGCTGAGAGGCAGGGATTGCAACAGGTAATTCTTGGGAAGTGCTGCCAGCAGGCCAGGTCTTCAGATTTCTAGATGCGTCTTTACCACCAAACATTTTTGTTCCCCAAGCTGTAGTTTCCCATTAACTGACCTCTATTCTCACCATATTCAACCTTCACTGGATCTCAATTAAAATTTGAAGTGTTAGATGAGATTGTTGCTTTTGGGGAGGAAGTAGCACTATGGTCTGTTGTTTCTGGCTGTTGCAGACTATCAGTCAGTACTACAGTCACTCTCTTACCCTGAGATGTCTGTGCATATTTAGGAAGAAGACCTCTTGCTGTGAGGGGGGCTTTAGCAATGGTCAGAGCATCGCTTTGCTCAAAACTTTCCGCTACTGAAAAAGCTCCGATATTTTCCTCCTAAGATTGCCATGCCAGACGTGAAATTGCTCCTCTGCAGGGTCTGCTTACTTTCTGTCTCTGATGATTTTCACCCTGCAGGTAACCTGGAGCAAGCCAACGAAGAGCTGAGAGCAATAATTAAGAAAATCTGGAAGCGCACCAGTATGAAGCTGCTGGACCAGGTGGTGCCCCCTGCGGGTGGTGAGTGCAGGATCTTGTCCCTGTCTGAATCTCTCTCTCTTTTTCCCCACCTGACATATCCTACTGCACCTCATGGTCATCAGGTGGAATATGGGGGACAAGCTTTCTTCTACAATCTGTTGCCTGTATTTCATCAAGCTGAGATCTGTTTCTGTCTGTACTAACATGAATATCATGTTCTAACTGCTGAGAAATCAGGGAGGAAGAAAAGGTGCATAAATAGGAGTTTGAAACCTTTATTCCTACATCTTGCCTCAGTTTGATCACAGGCATTTGCTCCCCTGGACTTTACCTGGTGCCTGCTGGCAGCAAAGGAAACAGGCAGAGCTAAGTAGCTCCAGGGAGGATGATGTGGGCTTTATCTGACTGCATAAGAGATATGGTCTTACACGCAAGTTTAGGATGCAGCCCCATCTCATAACCCCTTCATATTTAGCAAAACTACCTTTACTATGGCATATGACTCTTCTTTTACTCATGTAACTGCTTTCTACTACTATACCTGTCAAAGACTCACATACCTGGGGATGATCCTCAGCCAGTTTGAACTGGTGTAACAGATTGATGTGGGTTTCTATGGAGCATCCCTGGTAGGCTGTAATCACCAGGCTTCTGGGCAACTCCCTTGCTAGGCTTCTCGGGACCCCAGGTGCACGGGCATCCAGTGTGGCCTTCACTGACCTTCTGGGTGGCTCCTGGAGCTATAGCACAAAACAGCACTTGGCAGTGTGTTAACAGTTGCAGCCAGATCCTGAACCTTGTTCAGCCTGCTCTGAAGTCAGTGGACCATGTCTTATAAAATTTCCCTGGGGGTTTGGAGGAGGGAGGAGAGTTACCTGGATAAAAACTTAGTGCATGTTTTGGCTGACTGACAGTTTGTATCGAATGAGAATACAGCAATGACTGCATTTCTGGGGAGAGGCGACCATTTTGGTTCTCTCACACCCATGCTAGGCACAACCAGACAGAATTTCAATGCAGAGAAGGGCCAGATCAGGTTGGGGGCATACGGTCAGTCAGATGCTGTTGGTGGGCCCAGACTCTGAGTATGTATTACCCCAGGCCATCACAAGACAGAGCAGCATGCACTTACCCAGACTGGGAGGCTGCTGCTATAGCAAGATGCTATGTGGTAAACCAATACTAGAGACTGCAAACGTTAGAGGCACTTCGCCATAAACAACGTACATCCAGAGGCGCACAGCTGTAGCGGTTCTCTCCCAGCAGAGCCAGTCTATCCAAATGCCACATGCACCTCTCCTCCTGACTACTGACAGCAAGCTCTGGCTGTGGAGCAATCCCTTCCTTCAGCCCTGCACCCTGATGCCATAAAAAAGCAGAGGTGTGCTGCGGTGCCTAGTGTTTCTGCTGCGAATTGCAAGGCTCACATTAGCAAATACAGTGTTTAAAATCAGTTGCTTATTTTTACTTTTTTTTTAAATACCCCTTTGCAGATGACGAGGTGACCGTTGGGAAGTTCTACGCCACTTTCCTGATTCAGGAATATTTCCGGAAGTTCAAGAAACGTAAAGAACAGGGACTGGTGGGCAAGCCCTCCCAGCGCAACGCGCTCTCCTTGCAGGTGACAAGCGGGCACAGGATGGACAGGGGTGGTACAGTAGAGGCATTTGACCCCACTTCCCTCTCAACCCTTCTGGAGGCTGCAATGGGCTACCCCCACTGTAAGGGAGCTAGACCCCTTGAATTACCACATCAGTCCTTTTGGATAAACGTGTATCTGCTATAGGCCACATCCCTTAGCTCTGGAGGTGGAAGGCACAAGTGAGGTATATCCACAGTTTATCAATCTGCTGGTAATATTTGAAAGTTGGGGTTCTTTTACAGAACTGGTCCAGCAGATGTTTGCTTATTACCACATTCATTCAACATCTGAGGGGACTCACTATACTGGGTTCAGGGAGAGCACGTTGCCAGGAGGCAGAATCAGTTAAAAGGCAAAAAGCATACCTGGATGTAATAGACCTGGATCAGGCTTTAAGACCCAGGATCTGTTCACCAGTATGCTACATGTTCACTGGGTGGATTACCAGGGTGTGTGAAAGAATGAGAAAGCCCCATTAACTGTACAAGCAGCACAGTTCCTCGAGTGTACAGTAAGGAAGAAGGGTGACTCTGGAGTTCAAGCAAGCTAAAAAGTCCTGTCACGCAGCCACAGATACAGACTGAGGTCTCTGCATACCCACAGCTTGACTCCCTGGATGGACTCCATGGAACAGATTTCAGTCAGTGAGGGGTTTGAGGACTGTCCAGGTCCAGACGCCAGAAGTTTAGCTATTAAATCTATATTTAAGCTGTTGATTAAAAAGAAGAGATTTTCAGAGGCACCGAGTACATGGTTCAGCTGGAACTGTGACTGCTCTAGGGCTTCTGGTTGTGGATCTGAGAACCCAAAGTTGAAAGCATGCAGACTTGCTTAGTCAAGCCTGTGAATTTATGTCTATGGCCTGTTGTGATGAAGCCAGGGGAATAGCAACAAACATTCCTGAGTTGGATTGCTAAGAGTTTCTCCCTCTCTAAGCTGGAGATGAAAGAACAGAATTTGTTGGTGTTTTTCTAGGAGCTGGGGATGCTGTATTAAGTAAAAGGGTTTCACAGTGCTTAGGAAGAAATAGCATTGCTTTTATTTCTCATATACCCACTCGGAGATATGAAGCTCTATAGTTTGCTGTTTTGCAGGCTGGTCTACGCACACTTCATGACATCGGTCCAGAGATCCGACGAGCAATTTCTGGAGACCTGACAGCTGAAGAAGAGCTAGATAAGGCCATGAAAGAAGCTGTTTCTGCTGCCTCTGAAGATGATATCTTCCGGGTAGGTGCTGAACAAGTTCACAAGCTGAGGCTAGACCAGTAGCTGAGCTCAGAAAGTGCTGCATTCTCTTTTACTCACTCTGTATTTCAGCTGGGCCCTCCTTGTTTTCTAGACCCTACTAGAAAGCAGAGTGGTGGACTCAAGGTGCCAGGTCCTGAGATCTCTGCACAGTTTTAATCCCGTTTTCTTCTCAATGGAAGTTTTCCTCATAAAAACCTAAATAAAATCAGAATGAGAATGGCTAAAGAGTCTGAAGAACAGATCAGCCATCTTACAGTCTGCAGAGCAGCAGCCGGGCACACTTCAGTGTTTTGTGCTCTCCTCCTTACAGTGGCCCAAGCAGCATTCTTCCAAAAAGCACACCAGAACCCAACAGAGCTCCTACGGAAGGAGGAAATTTTCTGAGCAAGTTACCTACATCTACTCTTTCTTATTCCTGTTTCTCATAATTGTCTCCTCTGGTAATATTTCCTCTCTTCTGGCATTTTCCTCCTTTCCTTACAGAAAGATGCTGTCACTGCCCTTCAGTACTCATCATCTAAACAGTACATAACTGGCTCATTAAATCTTTCTTCATTTGTTCCTCTGGGTCGTTAATAGTTTCTGGTGCTCTTCTCAAATTCCCTCTCATGTCTAAATGTTGCTTTGCAACTGCACTGTGAAAACCAGAGAGCAGTTACCTGGTTCTTACATCCCTACCCAGTCCTGCACTCCCAAGACTGGTGGGAGGTCTAGAGACACCTTTGCCTCACCTGTGCACTTGGCCAGTCCTCTGATATATCTTAGAAAACTAAAGCTTTCACAGCCTGCGTGTACCTAGTCTCTCTCTGGCAGAGAAGTCCGTGCACTATCCTCTGGAAGAGAGAGCACCAGTGTCGTCATGCGCACTTTGGCCCTAACATTTTTTTTCCCTCAACAACAGGCTAAGCAGCAAACACCAGGGCCCTTGTACATCTTCTTACTCACAAAGGGAAAAATCATTCCTGTTTCTCTGACAGAGAGCCGGAGGCTTGTTTGGAAACCACGTCAGCTATTACCAAAGTGATGGCAGGAGCGCGTTCCCCCAGACGTTCACCACCCAGCGACCTTTGCACATCAATAAGTCTGGCAACAACCAGGGAGATACTGAATCTCCATCTCATGAGAAGTTGGTGGACTCCACCTTCACTCCCAGCAGCTACTCATCTTCAGGCTCCAACGCCAACATCAACAATGCCAACAACACTGCCCTATGCCGCTTCCCCAGCCCACCCAGCTACCCCAGCACTGTCAGCACAGTGGAAGGCCACGGGACCCCCTTGTCACCCACCATACGTGTGCAGGAGGCTCCTTGGAAACTATCTTCCAAACGGTAAGCTTCATAGCAGAGAGCGAGTCGAGGGACCAGGTCTAGGAGCATGCATGCAAACACCAGAGCACTGCTGCCTAGCTGAAGTCACGCACTGGACGTTGCCCAGCCGGCAGCCTGGATTGAGCCTTCTGGTTCTCCACTTGTGCCAAAGCCCACAGTGCAACCGATACGCACCAGCTGACCACTGCAAAGAAGCAGCACTCTTAGTGACCAACACACTTGATTTCTTTGGGCTTCATGATGAAGAAACCTTTGTGAGAACCGAAGGAGCCTTATTTATCCCTCCTTCACCACAGGGAGGTGTTTTATCAGCTGGTAAACGAAAGAGACTGCAGTTCATCTCTTAAGCACCCAATAGGGAGCTTTGTATATGGGTCGCATCCCTACAGAGGTCACCAAAGGCATCCTGGGAGGAGGTAGAAGGTTTTCAGAAACACAATGCTGTGCAAAGCAAAGAAAATCCCCTTCTCTGGACAGCTTTCAGGCTGTCTACACCCAGATAACTAATACAAAAGGAGTATCATTTTTATCAGTGAGGGATTTTTTTTTAACCCTTTAAGTAACAGCAGGAAGGAGCTGGGAAATTTTTTTCGGTGCAGAGAGTGGGCAATGTGAAAAGGTGGAGAAATGCTGCCCAGCAAAGGACAGAATAGGACAGTAAGGTGGAGGGAATTCAGTGGGTGCAGAATTGCCCCAGTAAAGAGTCCAGTGGGTTTTCTATTTCGTGCCTTCCTGAAGGAGGCCACAGAGTTGCACAACATGTGTTACCATCTGCCTTCCCCCTCGCTGACTTGTGCTGATGTGACACTGCTAACATGGTGTTCTTTTCTCTCCTTGCTTCCTTGGGTGCCTTCTTTGAATTAGGACGCATTACTACGAAACACTGGGACGGTATGTGTTCTCCCTCATGCTCTAATGCTTTCTGGATGTAAGACCCATTGTTTGTCCCACTGAAAGTCCAAATCCCCATTAATGCTGAATATGAGCTCTTCTTTTTGGTGTCAGTAGGGCTGAAAAAGAGGTAATGATCAGCAGGACATCTCCAGAAAATATTCCCAACTCAAGTCTTTTGTGCCCACAGGCAGGTAGTGATGCATGGATTGTTTCTAGCTGGTTTCTAGATTCAGGGGGGTTTTATAGTTTCTAGCTGGGCTCACACATCTAGGCACTCTCTGATCACAGCACAGTGAAGTACACCCTGGCATGTTCATTCAAAAATTCTGTATGGTTTTTGCTAAACGCAGACTTTTGAATAGAGGGAGCTGCCACGTACTGGTTTTCTTCCCTCCGCACCTTAGCTGTTTTACTTGCCTCCCATCTCAGGAGGAAGGTCATACCAGCACTGTCCTACAGGCTGTTTTATAACATGCATATGCACATTTCTCCCAGTGCTTTTTGCTTAAACCAAATGATAAAATAATGTTTCCTGTCCAGTCCCTGAAAGATGAAAAAAACCTGCCACACTGCTCTCTCCTGCGACTGCTGGTAACAGACTGACATTGGCTCCAATACCTCCGTGTCAGTATCTCAAAGATTCACACTACCTTCAGATTTTACTTTACTCCTCAGAAACTACAAACTCAGAATGAAGTGAAATATGAGGGACAAGACATGAAACAGAGGGACAAAGAGGAGGCAAGCAGGGAATTAAGGGCTGCCACACTTAAGGGTTTGAACGGATCCTACTGAATTCAGTAGAAGCACTCTGCAGGTAGCGATGAGAAAAAAGGGAGCAAAGATGGAAAAGACAGCAAGGAACGAGAGCATAAACAGGAGGCAGAGGGGAGAGATGGTGCAGAGTAAGGGATTTGGGAGGCAGAGACCATACACCACAGAGTTGAGAGGGTTACTGTTAGTCTCTAGGAGGCTTCTCTGAAATTCATAACCAAGGCTTTTGCAACAAGGGAAAAAGCTATATTTCCAAGAGCCCATCTCAGATTTTACTTTGTGTAAAAGACAAAGGTTGTTGCTTTGTATTTGTGAACTCTGCAGCTCTGTTCAGTCATTGGTTTTTCTGTGATAGCTCTTCAACTTCATAATAAACTGAGACAGATGGAGCCTGTCATTCTTGTCTTTATAACAGGTTGTCTTTACCATCTCCATATCTTGATTTGTCTTTTTTGCTCATTAGCTCCAGTTCCAGAGACAGCCAGCTGGCAATTGTTTGCCAAGAGGAAGTGTCTCAGGATGAGACTTATGATGAAAATTTGAATGAAGACATTGAGTACTGTAGTGAACCGAGTCTGCTCTCTACCGAAATGTGAGCTTTGCAGCTTTAGTCAAGGTGTTTGGGTGGTTCTTTAACTAAGGGGGAGAGGTGGGAAGAGGTGACGTTTTTCTACCAAAATTTCCATTTATGGACTAAGGCCAGGAGGCTGTAGTCAGACAACTCAATTATCAGAAAATATTTTTTTAAAAAACGTAGTTCAGCCCTGAGAGGTAATGTTGAAAAAGACATCTTTCACCTAGGGTTTTCCTTCTCTTCTGAATGAGACATCTGGATCTGCAGGGCCTCCCCCCACCTTCACTTCTATCATCTAAAGTTCCCAGATCTCATCTTTAGAGTGTTCACTGTCTCGTGGTCCCTTTTACTGCTCCTGGATCAGTTACAGCTTGAAGCTAGCTTGCTATTGCATCCGTTTGCTAGCATGACCTTCCTGGCTTTCCTGCTGGAAGAGGGGTTATTCTGCCCAATATCAGCTGCTTTTCTAGAATCCCTCTGTTCTCCTTTCCAGGCTTGCATACCAAGATGATGAAAACAGACAACTCACTCCACCAGAAAACAACAAAGGAGAGGACACCCGGCACTCTCCAAAGAAAGGGTTTCTGTGCTCCTCAGCACTAGGTAACCTCCCAGCGTGACATGCGGGCTGTGCTCTCCTCTGCCTCGCCTGAGTTCTCCCATCTCGCTGGAGGAATCTCAGTGTGTGTGGGCACGGGTGTTGCTGTTTGCTGCTGCTGCTGTTTGCTGCATTCAGCTCGTGAGACCAAAAATCCCATGATGTGCATGCAATCCTGATGATGCCCTACTGACTTTACGCTCAGTCAGTAGATGAATCTGTCGCTGTTTGGATAGTCCATGTGATCTCTTTGAGTAAGCTCGCCTGTGAATTAGGGGAGTTTATCAGAGCACTGTAGGCTCTCCAAACAATCACCAGGGAGTCACCGAATGGGCTAGCCTTGAGTATATGGCGTTCTGTGTGTATTCAGCAGGGAGAAAGGAGAGGTTGTCTCTTTTATCAGCTACAAGGAAAACAGGGAATTTCAGATTAAGGTAACACAAATTTGCTTTTGCCCTAATTGTACCTGGAGCTCTTCAAGTGCTTCAGCGTGCAGATTACGCTCAGGTGAAAATCATGAATCACAAGATTTTATGAAAGTATCAGGACAAATGTGAGAGTCTGTAAGAAAATAAGCTCTTTTATTTAGAGTATTTTTCAGCCTTTTTCCTGAGTACTGGTGTGGAGAAAAAGGACATTTGGGGGAGAAACTAAAGAGAATCCTGTATATAAAATACATTCTTACAAAATAAAAGTGACAGACTAAGTAGTGTAATGTTTAAAGTGAGACTACTGAGTCTTCACTCAAATCCTTCAGGATGCTTATACAATTGAGCATTTTAAAAGCATTTACTTTATTTCAAAATTTAAAATATTGAGCAGTGACGATTCCTGTATCTATCAGTAAGGCCACATTTGCAGTCAGTCCTTGATACAATGCTTCATTAACCACATTCTAGTGAATATTCATACAGTGATGACATACTCATTTTTTTCTCTAGAAAGAGGAAACACTTTATATCTGCATTGTAGCATTTGTTCTCTGAGTTATAACACGTTTCCTCCAACCCCTGAGAGGGCCTTTTCTTGACAAATCATTATTATAGATACTTACTGTTTTCAGAATTCTAAATTTCTTTCCTTCTTTAGAAAAATGCCAACAGAATCAAGAACTCCACAAAATATTTTAGTGTGCCATGCAGCTCTATCTTTAACACTGGATTTATTTGCCAGTCTTCAGAAGTAAAGCCTGTGCACTTGTTCACAAACACACTTTGCAGTACTTTTAAATTCCTGCATAAGGAGTACCTTTCTCATATTTACAGAAATAAAGTTTAATTTTATAGCAAATAGACAACAATGTGACTGTTTCAATAGTTCCCCCTAAAATCTTTTTCTTTTCAAGAGAAAAAAAAGCTTTTTTTCTCTTCCCTTCTTCCCAAATTTTGAAAATGCTTCATGTCTATATAAGCAGCCTTCCATTTACCAGTGAATTCAACCATTGATTAATTCCCTTCCACTTGACCTTGCTATAGACACAGCCTCATAAACTGTGGTGACTCTGGCAGCTAAGGGACAGAGATCACACACAAGCGGAGGCCAATGTCACCGGAGCGGCCTGACATCCCCTCCTGCACCTTGTGTACAGCCAGGCACAGCACCAGAGCCTCAGCTGCCATCACCAGTCCCGCTGAGAGCTTTACCTGAACCAGAGAGGTCTGAGAACACTTCCACTGCTTAGGAGGGAAATTAGCTGCATGGTGTCTACCAGGACAGTGTTTTAGAAGAGGAAGAATAAAACTCATCATCCAGAATTTTATCTTGCATCTTGCTTGGAAATTAGTGCTGGCTGGTCCATGATGCTTGACTGCTTTTGTAGATACAGATGCTTTGGAAAGGGCAAGGTGTTGAGGGAAAGTGGACAGAACCTAAAATGGGGGTCTTTGCTGTATCTCCAATGGGACTGCACTGAAAGAAATTGAAAACAGGTTACCTGTAGTGTACTATGAGTGACGGACACAGTTGTGTGTAATTGCTGTTTCAGGTCGAAGAGCATCTTTTCACTTAGAGTGTCTGAAAAGACAGAAAAACCAGGGTGTAGATGTCTCACAGAAGACAGTTCTGCCTTTGCATCTGGTACATCATCAGGTAAGCATTAATAACCACAAAGGGCCCAGCAATGTAACTGAGACTCTACCATCCACAGTGCCCCCCATTGTATCCCAACCAACTTTTTAAAAAACATTCGGGACAGTTTCTCACCCATATCAAAGGTCCGGTTTTTAAGAAATTGTATTTGCCATCATGCTCACTCCTGCTTTCAGGATTTTTATCATTCCCAGAAGAATGCTACAGGAACACGTCCTTTGGCGTCAGTAGAGTTATCATTTTCCAATGTCCACGAAAGAGTAAAATAAAAAACTAGCTAAAAGATAAAAATAACTATCAAACTGCATGCTGCAGTGCAGTTACACTGGCTTTGATGGTAGTATGCATACAAATAAAATGTGCAGGGTCTACTTTCATAGTAATTAAGGTAACCAGTAATGGTAATTAATCATTTTAAAGCACAAACTGATCCCATGTAATTAATCAGCTTCTTAAGCCCTTTGTACCTGCAGTCAGCAGCCTAGCAAATGTATGCTTAGGCACGTACCTAGATGATTAGCCAGCTGTCATAGTCCAAAGCGGATTTGTGTATTTTAGTTTGCTGATGCCACTTTTTGTCACCATAAAAGAAACAGGTGCAGATGGCAGTGCCAGCCTTGCAAGCGAGATGTCCTGCTCTGTGTATTCCCCCGGGACAGGGCAGAACCACCTTCCCACCTCCTGAGGCTGCCCCAGGGGTAGGCAGTGCCACGTGGCAGGGGCAGGAGGAGAGCGAAGTCAGAGCAGAGGAGCAAGAGATGAGCGCACTTGAGGCTCCCTGGCTTTTCTCACCTCCACTCCCAGCCAGTTGTCCTTTAAGGATTGAGCTCCAGAAAGCAGTGGTCTGCAGAGAGTTACAGCTGTGGCAGGGACAACCAGCAAACGTGTTGCAGCAGGGAGGAGTGGGCAGGAAACAGCTTCCCACGTTCCCAACAGCCGCAACAGCCATCCTGGGACTCCCTGCCCTCCCACAGCAGGCCAGGCAGAGAACACACATGCCTCCTACTCTCTCAGCCCACCCAGCTGGCAGAATCACCTTCCCCCAACCTGTACAAAGAGGATGGAGCTACTTCACCTTTCCTCATTCCACCATGCAGCTCCAGACCTAGAGGGATGGGGCTCACCACACCCCAGTGTCACTCAGCCAGACTGGAGGGTTACGCTGAAATAGGCAGCTGGCCTCCAGCTGACAACACTCATCAGTGTTCACATGTTTACAAAAATGTTAGCCTACAACAGTGCTTAAAACGAGAACATAAAGTGGAAAGGTTGCCTCTGCGAAGCGCGATGGATTTGGTTGCTCATGAATACTTGAAGGGATATTCTCATGAAATACTCATACATCATGATACATAAATATATGCAACTGAAGCTCAAAGCAATCACTAAGAGCTTCTTTCAACTTCCTCAGAACCTTACATTTTGCATAAAACACCTTATATAGGTTTCTTCCAACAAGCTGAAAAACTGGTTCAGTTGTCCTACCTGACAGATCTAGGGATCTCCTTGAAGTCCTGGCAGTTTAAGGGAGGTGCTGAGGCCATCATAGCCCACAGGACATGGCTTATACTGATGAATTTTACAAATTTCTTTCTTCCTCGTTGAATTTTGATAGGAGTCTGACATCTAATTCCTGAGAAAATCTTGGTGAACCTTGTAGGTGACTAATAATTAATTCTTTTGTTCATCTGTCACTGACATCATCAGCACAGCATGGTTATCAGTTCCCAAGGATTTCAGTAGCAGATGGACTGAGCTTCACTGAACTTTTGGTATCTTAAAGTCAGCTCTCTAGTTTAAACCAGTCAGTTCAGTCCCACTGTGGTCAACAGAGGGAAAGCGCATCTCCAAAGGGCAAATATAAATCTTGTCTAAGTCTCATCCTCCAGACAGCATTTTCAGGCAGGTATCAAAAAGAGGCAGGAGGCTTGCTGATGTCTCTCTGCACAATTAGTTTAGACTAAATATCTAGCCTTCCGATAGCTGAAGCTGGGTGAGACTAACCCCAGCCCGAACAAGTGGATTCTCCGCAACACAATCCCCGCGCTTTCCTATTTTCTATGCGTTTATTTCTTTGCTCATACTAGGCAGCACTGAGCTCTGTGAGATGAGCATATGACTCTGACGGCATTGCTTATGGAACAAGGCAGCAGTCACCATGAATAAGGCATCAGATCAGCTCTGTGCAGCAAAGGGCTTCTTGAGAAATTTGTTATAAAAGGAGGCTGGATGACTCAGGTCTTGTGTGTATGATTACAGGAAGGACTGGATGGCTCGAAGTATAATCATCAGATATTGATCCTCCCACCAACAGCAGATGTCTTAAAATCCAGTGGTGGATTTATAGTTATTGCCAACTGCAGACACATCTAAAAGTCACATCTGGTATCCGTTCAGGTTCCGCAGTAGACGCTTACAAAAAACACAGCAATTGCCAGTAAAAGCTAGTGGTATGGGTGGTGGCAGTGGTGGGAAAATGAATTGCTGTCTCACCCACTGGAGAAGAGGTGGTGTTTTTGGCAAGGCTGTGGGGAGCGGGGCTGCATCCCTCCTCTCAGTGCAGTGTCTCCAAGGCTGAAGAACTGCAGTTGTGAAAGTTTGCAGTCTGGTGCTTGGCACTAGCACAGGAGACACCATTTAAAGGAAAGCTTGCAAAACGAGTTCGCAGGAAACACCCAAACTGTTCCAGGAGCCCGCAGCTCTTTTCACAAGTTTTGAGACCCTCCAGGCCTTTCTCAGGTAGTCTCTCCAGAACCTCCTTATTCCAGCCCTGCTGCTAAGAGCAAGCTCTCACTTGTCTTGTTCCTCCTCTATCCACAGGCGTTAGCGGTGGCCGGTCTG